CCTTAAGAAAGCCTAATAGCTTTCAGTATTAGGCTTTCTTATGTATCGCACTTTTCACCTATTTTTAATAAAGAATTTCGAAGAAAATCATTCAAGATTATGCCATTTACATCTTCTTCATGAAAACAACCATAATTGCATGCAATTAAAATTTGATTTTTAGAAAATTACAGCTTAAAGAAAATAATAATCCCTCGTAACTTAAAATCTAGTGATACCTCATATGACTCTTTTTTAGCACAATACAAACAATTATAATAATAATCACAATACAATAAAGGATACCAATGTCCCATAAAGTGCTAAAATTTGTAGAACTATTTTGCTAGTGAAAAAATATGAGACTGATATAACTACTGGCAGCATAACATATATACAAAAATTTAAATGTAAATAAACATTTTACAGCATATTTAACCTTTTGAATAATTGAATAATGGCTTTTTGAAGAATTTACATTTTTAAAAATCGAAATACATTTCTGTAATTCCTAATACAGAGGAGATTACAATATTTTCATGCATTTTCTGGAAAATGGAAGTAAAATGAGTTCCTTATACAGTAATACATTTGTAGCATCAACTACCACAACCCTTGATATCTGATGCCACAATTATCAGATTTATGATGCAGATGTCAGACATCTTTTAAAACAGCATAAATGTTCTTACATATTATTTAAATGATTTCTCTGTGTCATCCTTACAAATGTGCCTTCTAGATGCACAACTGTTCAAAATTATACTCTTTAACAGCAGCCAAAAGTCCTCATTTAAAAAGATTCATTTCAAATGTAACATTATTAACATGCAGATTTTTTCTTTCCATTAACAACAATTTATTAATTTAAAGAAGAATATTTAAAAAATATAGAGATTTTTTTTTTTGCAATTTCATTATATTACTATAATGCAAATTAGGTTTTATGCTATTAAAAGCTACATGACCAACCCCAAAACTATGACACAACAAAATTGTTGCTGATTATGTTTAACATTCTCACATTGAAAATGTGAAGAAAAGTTTCAGAATTTTTATTTTCAGAAAGTTAATTTAAATATTAAATGTATGTGAAGATATGGGTAAACATTTTTAATGAACTGGAATTCCACATTCTAATACTTGCCATAAACAGCTGTCAACTATTCATTACCAGATGTTTTCTTTACGCAAATGTCAATAATTATTCTCAGTACCTCGAAATGGGAGAACGACTTAAAATATGCACAATAGGTACAGTGGACTGCAATTTTTCAGAAATACTTTAGATTTTTAAAACTCTTAAATAAACCATAAAGCCATTATAATACCAGGAAAATTTCCCATTTTAATATTTCAGAGATGAATGCTTTAGATACATCAAACAGGATTTTGCCATCAAATAGCCAGAATCAGTCTAATTTTTTAATAAGAAAAAATATTGAGAAGTAGCTTGCGCATATTGATAAAAGATCTTTAGGCTGGTGTCATAGCTGCTATGCTACAGCTATACTAAAAAATATGAAAACACAGCCCACTTATTATATGCCAGTAATACAATATGCATTATTATAAGTGAAAAAAGGACCACATAGAAACATTTCTCAGTTTCGCTTCATGTATCATGGCTAGTGCAAAAATGTTATACAGAAAAGAAAAGGAACATAATAATTAATCACATTACACAAGACTTACCAAAGTATTTCAGTGCAACTGTTTACAATGAATTTTTTATTCACTTTTTTAAATGTAAACAGATGATACAATATGAAATTTAGAAAGAGATCAGATTAAACTCGAAAATTACAAGAATTTCACAATTCTCATAAAAAGGATTGTTATTGACAGCACAAGAAAAATTATTACAACCAATACACTTTTCAATAAAAAGTTGCAAAAGACTTCAAAAGCATTAGACAAATATTTACATTTAAAAGTGTACTTCTCCCCCCTCCCAAAAAAGGATACGGAATACATAGCTCTGCAATAAATGCCATAAGAAGACGCTTATTTGGGATTAATTTTAATAAAAACAAAATACCTTTGATGCGCGGTGGTTGCGCCCTGAAACCACCAATTTTCAAATTTTCCCCTCGTTTCTTTCCAAACATTTCCAGTGAAAACCGACTGATTACTTATCTTTTACCTCTAAATAACTGAAAATGATTGTAGAATCAAATATTTTTTAGGTCTTAGTATTTCAAATCGGATGCCTTTTAAAATTCGTTTTCAATGAGAAAAAATAACTTCCTTTTACAGAGTTCGTAGCCACATTTTAATTAAAAAAATAAGCACCTATAAGCACTTTTCAAGTACATTTTAAGGACAGAAATAAGCAATTGTCTAATTACATTATACACAAATGCATAACCTTAAAAGAAAAATTAGATTTGTAAATTAAGAGAGTGAGCATTACTCAACCATGGAAAACAATTACATTCTTTTTTTAACTTTAAATAACAGCTCAATTTACAGAACTAGTTTACAATGAGAGGGGGGGGGGAAACCTACGCAGAACTAAATTATATTACAAGATTTAATAATGAAATGCCAGTTCAAAAAAGAGAAAATAAATAATAATAAGCCATATTTATTATATAGGGTGTGGTGTGGGACGAACTTGGAGGGGTGGAGCATACTAAAAAATGCATTTTTTTAGAGGAATGTAGGGTCTAAAGTGACGGGTTAAAGCAGGAACGGGGGGGGGGAGAGAACACAAGAGGAAAATGTGTTTATGTACAAAATCAATGCAAAGTGCTTCTTTGTAGCAATACAGTATTCACAATAAATGTTCAAAATTGTGACCACCAGCAGTAATACATGCTTGGTAACGTCGCAGAAGGGATTGACGAACATTTTAAAAAATGACAGGCATTTCGCACATGCTTGCAATCGCAAAGGATAGTCGTGCAACGAGGTCCTCCAGTGAGTCAACGGGAGTCTCATAAATGATGCTCTTCAGATGGCCCCATAAAAGATTCAAGCTGGATAAATTTGGCGAATGGGGTGGCCATTGAACGGGTCGACGACGGCCAATCCACTGGCCTGGAAATGTCCTATCCAAGCAATTGTGGACCCGCACGTGGTTATGGGCTGGTGTACCATCATGCTGGAACCACATTTTCACAGTCCTGCAGCCATGTGGCATATTTATCATTGAGCAGGACACATTGCGCTCCGTGTGATATCCCTGCCATACTCATATTGATTAATAAAGAGATTTACCAATCTGGGGTGTTTTACATTCTAATTTTTGAACAGACTGTGTTAAATTTCCGGAACAGAATCATTCTTCGCTTGGGTTGGTAGGTGGCAGAACTTTTAGTCCTACTCAATCCAGGTTGGAAAGTGATCAAAAAGAAAAGTCCATTGCTTGCTTTGCTGCAAATATTTGAGATTTTGCCGAGAAAGGGGAGAACCCCAAACTTCGGTACTGTATAATGCATTGCCCCCCCAAAAGAGGAAATTATTTTGACTATTCGATTACTTTCACTTTATTTATGTCATTCCTAATATTATTTCTTAGAAAACTAATCGGTGTTAGAACACACCTATTTTTGAAGTTTATCTATACTTCAGCAGTTACTGCAAATATATTATAAATATTCATACATCTGCTCATAATATAAGCATACCAATCATAATAAATGCGAATATAAGCTGACCATACGGAACGATAATGCAAATTATTAAAATCTTGATAGAAGTTCAATGTAGTATTGGGTGGGAGCAAAAGAATAAGGAATGTACCGGAATTTTCTACCGCTTTTGCAATTCTTTGACCAATAGAACAATGTGCACCTGTCTGTACTCGCACACACCAAAGTAGTTTCTGGGAGTATGATTCATCATCTGACATTCCATATAAGGAAGAAAATGAATGTATAAGGGAACATGGTAAATACTAGTTATGCACTTTTTAGCATCCAAAAGAGCTAATTTAGCTGTTAAAAATACCAAATATTAAAGCAAGGGATTTCAGCGATTTGAGAGGAACACGTGTAAACTAGCATAATGTCTTAAATAAATGAGGAAAACCATGCAGTTTATCAACTGAAATTGTTTTAGAGTTACCCAAGATAGGAAAAATTTATTTAAGTGGAACTGGTGCCTGCATGTATACACATACTTTGCAATGATTTTATGCTACCTTTTAAAATAATGCAAAATTAAAATAGTGCACACATAATACAGAAAGTCTACACACTAAAAAAGAAACATCAGGACACAGTATTTGTCAATTTATCATTTACAGTGCAAAATAAGATTCAAATCCTTTTAGTTTCACCCACAAAAAGGGAAAGCCGGCAAGGTTCAGTACACTTCAATGTTAACTCTGAATTGACTTTTACATTCGCATTTTGATGATGAAGAAAATAAGCTATATCGAATGGGAAAAACACACAAATCATCATAATAGAAAGCAAGACAGAATTTTCCTGAAAGTCTCTCATGTACTTAAAGGTGCATAATTATTAACTGAATTTATATTAATCATCCAACTTTTAAAAAGCTTGTTTTTTGACATATTAAGTAGCATATTTATATATATTCTAGTATTTTGTAATGCATCAGCCTAAGCATAATTAAATTCTTGAATTACAGAAAGCTTAAAAATATTACAAAATATAGTAAAAAAAGGATAAACAAAACAAGTTAGCATCAGGAATACAACACAACATAAGCATTTCTGCAATATACATGTTAACTTCTTACACCTATGAAACAAGAAATATACAGAATACTTTTAAACTGTTATATGTGACAGCTGAAAATTAATGTAGTCTTACATTTATCATGAGAACAAATACACAAATGAAAATACACTGCATTACACACATATATATTTTACATCCATGCATACACCACAAAAGAACTGAGTAAAACTGAATTCAACAGAACATTCTTAAATAAAGAATGGCAAAATATGTTCACAAAAAGCAGCTTATTATAAGCTGGAAAATACACAAGCCATGGAAATTCAGATGGAGGAAGTGCAAAGTAAAAGAGAACAGACTTACCATTTCACTACCTTGTAATATCTGAGTTTCCCCCAAAGGTGGGAGAGAGTCCAAAGATTTATTTATGCTCTTTACTGGAGTTGTGGGGCAAGCTATAAATTTAACAGATTTAATAAACATTTACATACTTGAAACACATACTTCAAAATAAAAATTCTAACATAGTAAATTATGTTGAAATAAATCACTACCTACAATTTTTCCTTGATATGCAAGGCACTGCACATTGGTTAGTTCACCATAAAATTTCTCATTTTGATAACATATGTGTAATGTTAAAATATTAATTGTAAATTGTAATAGAATTAAATCATATTTATAGTGTGTGTGTGTGTATGTACACTGCTCAAAAAAAAAAAAAAAAAAACAAACGGGACAGTGCTATATCTCCCGTTCTACTGGGCCGATTGACAAAATTCAAACTGCGTTTTTCATGTCTCGAAAGCGCGACTTAGGATATATATTAGATTTATATATAGCACTATTCTAACATAGGTATTTTGACACAAAATCGGACTTTTTCTGAAATAACATACCAATTTTTTTCCATATTTCGATTCTACGACTCAAATTATGCCAGAATACCAAGTTTTGTAAAAATCGTACGACTAGTTTTTAAAATATTAGCTCTCAAAACTTTTAGCTCCTCAATGTTAATTGAATTTGGCAAATATTTATTAATATCTCTTTTTTTATTAAACTTTTTTGATTTTTTTCTCTCACATTTCGAAATTTAGGTTCATTTCCAAATAAAATTTACCCATTTTTGACTTGTTTTAAATTTATTATTTAAATAATTTTTATAAATTTTTCGAAAAAAATTTTGAATTATAACCTATAAAATTTTTACCATCATCTTAAAGTAGGTGTATTTTTAAGCATATCTGCAAAAAATTAGACTTTTTTTATTCAAAATTTTCTAAGATATACACGAATTTACATATTTTCGCGTTTTGAAATTTGGCATCTTTTTTTTTGAGCGATAATAACGCCAAATGTGGTCTATGGATTTTTGTTACACTGAATTGCCACAGCTATTTTTAACCTTAAATTTCAAGTAAATTTTACGGAGGATTAATTATATGAAATATTTTCCCTCAATAAGGCATAAAAAATATTTATTAATACTATATGAAAAGCTATTTTTTTTAAATTATAGATATTATTCAAATTTTAACAATGTTTTTTAATTTCTCTCTTTCTTCCTTTTTTTTAAAAAAAATAAGAGTACATTTTTCTAAGAGTAAATTTTTACCTTCGGCGTTTTATCGTCTGCTACTTTACTTCGTTTAAATCGAATTGTCTAAAACTGAGAATTTTTGTTTAATGTTTATTTGAATTTTATGAAAATATTTTATGACATCAACTGCATAATTTATTTCTAAACAAACTGTTGCTTTTGAAATGGCTGAAAGAGCGGCAGATACTATCATCCATTTTTTAAAGCACATATATTTTTATAAAAACATAAGATTTAGAATAATCATTTATATAAGTCAAATTATGATATAAACATACAACCATCTAGAGACTGAATTAGTGGAAGTTCAATGGTTATGTAGAAATGATTTGCAGCTACTTAATGGCTGGATAAGTCAGCAGCTTCTGTGGACAAGTAGGAATAATTATATAAACGACACACAACATTCTGGATTCAATTAACAACGAGGATACGATGTTTATTAAATGAATTTAAGAAGTTTTACTACGTAAAAAATCAACTCATTTTTATCCTAAAATGTATTTTTGTACGTAGCGTATTTTCATTATATCCTTAAAATTCTAATTTAGAATGTAATTGTCAAGAACTGAATCCTAATCATCAATAATAAGTAATTATTACGGTTATTAATAAATCCTTCTTATAAAGTAACTGCAAATATTTCAAAAAACTTTGTCTGAATGCAAATATTTTTCTATGCAAAATTTTAAATTTTATATTAATCAAGATTGCACACGATATTATTTATTTGCACTTCAATTTTTACCGTCAGCTCTAGTAGAAGTTACAAATCAATTATATTTAATTAAGGATTGGATTGGATTATTCAAAGCACACGAGGGCTATCTGCCTAAAGGGAGGGATGCCTTCGTGGAGGACATTCTAAGGTAAACTGGCTCGTATACACGTTACACATGGGCAAAACCACGAAACCGCCCATGCAGCCAGCCCGTTCGTGGAATTCGAACCTCAGACCGAACTACCAGTCCTCAGCGTCTTTACCGCTCAGCCGCTGGTGGCGCTGTATGCAATATTTTTAAACGAAATACGGATCGGAATCTAACTTAACCTTTTGTTACAGGGGTTTAATATGTTGTATACCCTTAAGAAATTTTGAAGTAAGAAAATTACCATTTAAAGGCGTTAAATTTGATAAACGTCAAGTGCGCCATCCGTGTAAGTGAGAAATTCGTCCGTGGAAACCACGAATTAGCGATTAGAAAATGTGAGATCGCAAATCACTCGCACAAGTGCGTACAATCTGGAAATCGTTTTCTTACAGATCGCTAATTTGTAATTTTTGAAGCCTGAATTCGGCCCTAAAACATGAAGATACTGATTCAAAACGCTTTTAATCAATTTGGGCCAAAGAAATCCCTCATGTTATCTATCTAGTTCCATTGCATTCTCCTACTGCATTCGATTGCATAGCAGTCATTCCACACCGTTTAGTGTAGAATGACAGCTAGTTTTATAACTGAACCATTTTTCTCTGAAGAGCAGTCGACAGCTGGACCACTGTGATTGCAGCTCACTTAGAGTCAATGTTAAAATGTTTCGTGATACATGAACTGCAGTAACGTGGCATTTTAGATACTACGATTTTTATACAGGGCTGGGACCCACCTCACGTGTGTCGCACAATTACTTAGGCAACATTTCACGAATGAACGTCTTATAAGCCAACATTTCCCCTCTTCCCACCAGACCTCAACCTCTGTGACTTTTAGCTATGGGGTTTTCTCAAAAGCACTGTTTATGGTGATAATCTAAACAATTTGGCAGAAATGAAAAATGTGATACACTGACATGTTCGTACCATTCCTCCTGATATGCTAAGAGCTGCTGTTGAGAATGCAGTAACAGGATTTAACTTGCTTTCGGAAATTGCTGGACGCTACATTGAACATGCTTTGTAACACGTTTCGGAAAATATTAAACACATTTTCAACAGATGTTTTCGTGTCTTATTTCATTTAACAATCTTGTATACACTGCAATTTTTGCCCTGGTTGTGAGTTTTTGAACTCTTTTTTTTTTTTTTTTTCCCCGCGGAAAATAAATTTCCATAACCTCCTTTACACGATTCCCAAGTTTGATAACATTTGGTACGGTAGTTTTCCTTTTATGACCATTTCAAATTGGAACTTTAATTATAACCACCATGTAAATTAAACTTCAAAAATTTTACAGTTTGGTTCAAGTCCCAGCTTTAAAAAAATATATATAAATATAATCTTTTATATTAATCCTCTTAGAAAGAATGTTTTAAGAAGCTAATTTTTCTCTCGTGTTATAGATTGTATAAAAAAACATGATCTTTAATATGATTTAGATTGTTTCAGCCGATATAAGAATCGGGTTATTCAGTGGTAGAGAATAAACCCTGCTGGACTGTTTTATTTCTTTGTCATTTAGCAAAAATCTTTTGATTAAAATATTTATCCTTTGGACTTCGCATTAAACTTTATTTATAGTTAAAATGACTAGAAAATGAAAAGCTGTCTTCAGCTGAAACGCAATTCATGTAATTGATATTTTAAGAAACTGACAAGAATGCAAAATTTATGGAAGTCTAGCAATCGAAAAATCTTAATTTTCTTGGGTGTGCACTGAAAATAACTGTAGAAGAAAAGAAGAAAATTACGGAGAAAAGTAAGCAAAAATTTGCAGGGAAATTTGGCTGTCAGACATACCAAGATGTTTAAAAAAGTTAGACGCTTTTGAATATACTTTCAGGATACTTCAAAGAATTTAGGTGTTCAAAGAAAAAACACTTGGATGTGTACACCAGCAAATACCATCAATTGAGCTTGTGGTTAACAGAAAAGACAAAAACGATATCATTGCAGATTAAAGTGAAGAGCGACTATATGGTTGTATAAATTTAAATTATGTTATAGAACATCATATCGTATCATAAATGGAGAATCCCATGAATTTCTCATTCACATTATTTCAATATTCAGGAGTTTATCCAGTGATGTATGTGGATGTCACCTAAAGATATTTTTTTTTTCCTCCTGATGAAACAGCGGCCGAGCGATAAAGTCGCTGAACGCTAGTAGTTCTGTCCGAGGTCCGAATCCCACGAACGGGCTGGCTGCATGGGCATTTTCGTGGTTTTCCCCATGTGTAACGTGTATGCGAGCCAGTTTCCCTTAGAAAGTCCTCCACGAAGGCATCCCTCCCCTTAGGCAGATAGCCCTAGTGTGCTTTGTCATAATTAAATAAACCAAAACCTCTTGATGAAGCCAGTCTTTCCTTTCATCTCATACCTTCAAAATGTTTAGCCTCTAAAGACTGATAAAGGCTCTGACCAAATATTGATGAAATGGATTGAATTGAATTATTAAGTTACGCCAAAGCAGGGCTATCTGCCTAAAAGGAAGGATGCCTTTGTGAAGAACTTTCTAAGGGAAATCAGCTGGCATACACGGTACACATGAGAAAATCCACGAAAACGCCCATGCAACCAGCCCGTTTACCGGGATTCGAACCCCGGAGTGAACTATCAGTGTTCAGCGACTTTACCTCTCGGCCGTTTGTGGGCCTTTATGAAATGGAAGGCGATAACTTTATTTAATATGATTGTCAGAAATATCAAGATATTTCGAAAATTTGAATGCTTTTTAATATACTTGCGGAATGCCTAAAGAAAAGAGCAAGAATAAAGTAGAATGCCTGAAGAAAAAGAGAAGAAAAAATAAATTTTACGGTAAAATTTAGTATTTGTATTTTTTAAAAAATTTAAAACTTTTTAATATTATATTTCATTCTTACGATTTCAAAAATAAAATATTTGACTAAAATATGAATAACATTTAAGAAGCCACATGTAGGATAAAATTGTGTAAAGCAATGGGCACA